AATAGGTAGAGGCCCTTAGCTTTGTGTTTTGCCTACCGCTTAGGAGTTTAACTGTGGTTGTTAACCAGGGAGGAGGTTCGATTAAGTAGTGAGTGAAATTCTTTCATTTATTGATTCTATTTAGAGGACTCTTTCTCTTGTTTTAGACAAGATATGTTGGTGTGTAAAAAAAATACTCTGGTAAACTATGAATTTTAAATTAAAGAAAGATCTAAGCCTTATGAAATAATATCACAGCAATGAGGTAAATCTCTAAATTGTCCTCCACAGAGTATCCCTACCTCAGAATCCTCACTGAGAGTAGATTTTGTCTACACTGTAGGGTTTGCCTGTGTTTGTTTAGCTTCGCCAGTATCATGTTTCCATCTGGTGCCACTGGTGTTTGGAGCTTTAATTGACAAACTATATCTAAAAACAGATCGTCATGGCTGTTGGGAAGATACTGAGATATGTGTGTATGTGCGGATGTGTATGTGTGTTTGTGTGTGTGTGTTTGTGTGTGTATGTTTCTTATTCATAAGTTCCACTGTCTAGAAGTCCTCTGCTTCATCTGTTCTTGGTGCTACCTGTATCTTCACCACAGTGCTGAAAGGCTCAGAGTAACTTGCTCTAAATTCAAAGAGAAGCCTGAGGCTGGAGTACAGTGTCACTTTAAAAGTGTTCTTTTAACTTGATTCCTAGAAGAATTTTAGAAAATTCCCTCAGATACCATGGCATAGAGATGAGAAAATAAAGATGTGACAGAGAGTCATGCGATAAATAAACAAGGTTTTCCTTATCATATCTTTGAAGAACCTATTAGAAAATTCAAAGAAACTTGAAGTAAGTCTGAACTTATATAATACTTACCCAAGAATTTGCCATCCCTTGGCCATTACTCAAGGGCCATAAAAGAAATGAAAATGAAGAATAATAAAGCTTCTACCATACTTGAGCAAAAAGTATGTGAGTATCTGCAACTAATGAATTTCTAAGTACCCTGTTTGGATAGGAATTCAAAACTCTACCTAAGTTTCAAGATTATTTTCTAAAAAGAAATCTTAAGTCTTCCCTAAAATTTAGAGTACACAGAAATCTTTTCTTGTACTGGACTTCTTATTCCCTCTATAGGATGAAGAACACTTGACATATGTATATTTAAATATAAATATATTTAAATTAGTATTTTTAAATGTATTGCCTTTTTATTTACTATATGTACTGCCAAGAAAGCACACACTGCCCTTCTTTTTTATTTAAAGAAAAAATAAAACAGCTTCAAAGCAGGTTAGTAAGAGAGTTACAATAATTAATACATTGTGTGTTGTTGTCATCATAGTTGTTATTCAGAGTACAAAATATAGGCATAATATCTTGTCCAAACAATATTAGCACAAAGCTTTCTTTTCAATGAACTAAGAGAGACTAGCTGTATAAGAATCTCAACTATCTTGCTTATGAATATATTTTTCCTTTTTCCCTTCCTTCCTTTCCCTCTACCACATCACAGTTTGTCTTTTATTTTGAACAGTTTCTTCCCAATTCACAATATCTGTTGTATGTTTTGGACCTTATTTACTCACTTATTTTCTCATACTAGTGAGATGATATGATGTTTACACGTATGGGTCTGAATTATTTCACTTATGAGTATGGTTTTGTGTTGCATTCATTTACATAAAAAGTCTCCAGTTTATACTTCTTTATGGCTGAGTGGTACTCCATCATGTAAAAAACCACTTTTTTTTTTTATCCATTCTTCAACTGATGGGCATTTGTGTTATTTCCAAGATTTAGCTATTATAAATTGTGCTACTATAAACATGGGTGCACATATATTGCTATGGTATGATGTTTTTAATTCTTCTGGGAAGATACCCAGCAGGGAACTAGCTGGGTCAAATGAGACCTTAATCCTAGTATTTTAAGAAATTTCCACACTACTTTCCACAGTGGTTGTACCAGTTCACACTCCCAGCAACAGTGGAGAAGGGTTCCTTTTTCCCCACAGTCCCACCAGCATTTGCTATCAGCTGATTTTTTTGATGATAGCTATTCTTTCTGGGGTGAGGTGAAATCTCAGTGTTGTCTTAATTTGCATCTCTCAAATGACCAATGATTTTGAACATTTTTTCATATATTTATTTGCCATTTGTATTTCTTCAACTGATAAGTATGTATTCCTCTCAGATGCCCATTTTTGGATTGAGTTTTTGAATTTCAAAGGATCTGATTGTTTTTTTTGATTCTTTATATGTTCTAGATATAAGGTCTTTGTCTGAGGGGCAACTGGTTATAATTTTTCCCGCTTTCTGGGTTGTCTTTTCACTGTCTTGGTAATTTCTTTTGTTGTGCAGAAGCTTTTTAATAAGGTGAGATCCCATTTGTTGATTCTTTGTAACATTTCCCTTGCAGTCTGAGTTTTGTTCATGGAGTCTCTGCTTCCACCTATGTCTTCAAGATTTCTACCTATTTTCTCTTCCAGTAAATTTAATGTTGCTATTTTAATGTTTAGATCATTGATCCTTTTAGACTTTAGTGCATAGTGGTAGACATGGATGTAGGTTTAGTCTTCAGCATGTGAAAAGACAGTTTTTTCATCACCATGTATTAAGGAGGCTATCTTTCTTTCAGTGAATACATTTGGCTTCTTTGTCAAAGATAAGGTGGATAAGTGTGTTTAGGGCTGTGTCTACATCTTGTAATCTGTTCCACTGATCTTCAGGCCTGCATTTTTGTTTGGATCTGTTTCATTGATTCCATTTCTTATCTATGTTTTGCATTCATGTATTCCACCCTTTTCCTGAGCTCCTCCATTTGTTTATATGTATCGGCTTTAAAGTCTTTCATTTTTATAGTTGTTTCTTTTTGAACCTTAGAGATTATTTTTGTATGGCTCCTTCCAATTGTTTTTTTTTTTTTTACTTCTGCTGCTATCAGTTGAGAGAATTCCATTTGTTGGCTTTGGATTTCCTTTATCTCTTTGTACTCTGGACTTGTCCTATTTGGCTGGGCATCTGGGATTGCATTTTGCGTGTTCATCTTGTCATTTTCTATTCTCTATTTCATTTTGTTTTCTGTCCTGATGCTTGTAGATTTCTTATGTTAGATAACCTTATCACTGGTGTTGAGACTTTCCTAAGAGGTGTCTGTTCCTCTTGATATCATCTAGATGTAGGTTGTTCTCAGTCTTCATGTCTATCCCAAGACCTTACCTTTCCAACATATTAAGACTGAGTAGTTGCTATCTATTTGATTTAGGGTCCATTCCTTTTGTACTGGACTATGGTGATTGCTATGACCTCTTAAAAGCTCAGTATTGTCATACGGGAGGGGGGTGTGGGGAACTGGTTATACCATGTATGACATCCTAGTTAAAGTAGTTCAGTTGGCAATAACAATGGACTCAAGTAAGCCTGGCTGCTGACACACTGTGGTAACTATTAGCCTGATATCTATAATCACAGGAGGAAGGTCTACAGAAATGTAATATAATCCAACTTCTACCAGGAACTTGTATGCAATGATTTTCCACTAATACAGTGATTTTACCCTGCTGTGGGAGGGGAGTTCAAGAGGAAGAGGGTAGGATGGAGAGATGGATGAGGTTAAGTATAGTATGAGTCTGGTTGGAGGGCATAGAATGATCATTCAGGCTTTGGCAATTGTAGGACATAGGAGGGAAGGATTGGAGAAGTCCTAGGAGTTTTGAACTGAACCAGAAAGAGAAGAGATGATGTTTACTCACATGAAATTTTCATCAATTCAAGCAAGGTAGTTGACTAAAGAAAGGAAGAAGATGAGGAGGATAAAACAAAAAGAAAGGTTATGGACCTAAGTTGTGAACAAGAGATAGAAAAAAGAATACAAAAAGAAAAGAAAGAAAAGAAGAAAGAAAAAGAAGAAAAAAGAAAAAAAAACCAAGTAAACAAAAATAGCCTCACACACTGAGAAAACAACAACATACATCAATAAAAAGAAAACAGGAAAAAATAGAACAGAGAGAAAATGGGAAAACAGAGGAAAAACAAAAAAGAAACAAACCACCAAAATAATCAAACTAAAAATAAAACAAAACACTAATCCAGCCAGATATCAAGAGGAAACCAATCAGACAGAGAAAAATGAAATTAGTGAAATTCCTCCAGTGTCTATAGTTCTGTGGTAGGTCCAAGTAAGATCCCGGAAATGTGTACTCTGGTCCAGATTGCAGGTGGATTGTTGTTGGGTTTGGATCCGATCTTTGTCTCTGGATTTGGGGGATGAGATTGATTTTCTGTGGCTGCAGTTTTCCCCAGTCGTGTGGAGAAGAAAAAAAAAAGAGAAAAAGGAAAAAGAAAAAGAAATGAAAGAGAAAGCGAAAATACAAGAAAACAGAAGGGGCAGCCCCTGCCCTTTCCCTTCTATTCTTCCTGCCTTTGTCCCCAAGCACAGCACCGGTTCTCCTAACTTACCACCTGTTGGCTCCTGTTGTTACTGTTGCGTGAGATATTATCATGCCTCTAGTTCTGCCTGTCCATCCTGTGCACCTTAGCAAGGGTCCTACTGTGTTGCTGGTGTTCCCACCGGTGGTCTCCCAGTCCTGAGTCCCGCCGGTGGAGGGAAGGAGGGCGGATCTCAGACTTCTCTCATCAGCTGCACTGTCCCGAGTGAATGGAGGAAGGAAGGAGCTGATCTCAGATTCTTCCCACCATCCCCAGTAGGTGGAAGAAGGTACGAGCCCATCTCCCAGGCTTCTCGCCAGCCTCGCAGTCTGAGGTCAGTGGAGGAAGGGAGGGGCATGAACGCCCACTCCTCTTGCAGGTTGTGCCATCCCAGGGCAATGGAGGAAGCTGCCTTTCTATTTACAGGTGTTTAATTTCACTAAATTTTCTCAAGGTTTCATTGAAATGAGTATCTTATTTTAACTTGAATTCTTTTATATGTGAGGTTAAGCAATTTTTAATAGCTGCCAAAGATTTGTATTTCTTTTTCTTGAAAAAAAAAAAAACTGTTTAGAATTATCTTATTTTCTCTTGCAGAAAAAGATCCTGGTAATCATGATACTGGATGAAAGAAGAAAAAAGTAGTTAATGAAAATAAAATTGGTGCAGCTACTTGCTTCACAAATTTTTATTCATGACAATAATTCCATTTCTTTATAGTTTACGTAAAGAATGCCTATACAAAAAAAATTCCCTGAAATACCAACAATTTTTAGTAATTAGAAAATTTTTATATTTTTATGAAACAAATGATTGGTCAAATTTTAGCTAGGGTTTAACTTTATATGGCTATAATCTATTCTCAGATAACAACATAATTGCTTACTGGAATGAATTAGTGTAAATGGAAATATTACAGTTGATAAATAAAACAAATCAGCTTTTAAAAAATAAACATGCCAATACATAATATTGTGTCTTCAGGTTTTTAAAATTCTCATCGATTTTAATCTTAATAATCAAATTATTGTTACATGTATTTTAGCGATGAGCAGCTCACATTACTAAAGTAAGTGGAATTATATCATGTCATATTTTCATAGGTTACCCTAGCCTCACAGATCTGATCACTTTATTTTTTTGTAATGTGTTTTAATTTTTAAAAATTTTTATTAGGACATGTTTGCAGTAGGTAATGTTTCCGTCCCTTGTGTGGAGTTGATCCATGTACAAAACACACCACAATTCCTTTTTCATTCCTTTCTTCCTTGTTCCTCCTCTTCCCCTTCTTCCATCTTGTGATCCCCCTCCCATTTGCTAAAGATCTTTTTTCCTAATTACCATTATCTTTTATTTTGTTCTTTGTAATTTGCATTTCACAAATAAGTGGAACCATGCGATATTTAAACTTGTGTGTCTGATTTATTTCACTTAACATTATGGTCTCAAGGTGGATCCATTTTCCTACAAAGGAGTCCAGTTTATCTTTCCTTATGGCAATCTAGTACTCCATTGCTTGTAAATATCATGTTTTCTTTATCCATTCATCTGCTGATGGACATATAGATCACTTCCAAGATTTAGCTACTATGAAATGTGCTGGCTGTCTGTAGCACACATACTGCCTTTAAAGGAACATGCTAATGTGCTGTGTGTAACAAAACAATTACCTGGCCCATACTTACTCCTTTTTGACATGATATCCTACAGAATCAAGGGATTTGTTGAAAATACCCTGCACCCTCTTTGTCAGTAATTTTCAGGTCTCTTCCTTCATGTCCTAGGATTTACCTCAAGATTATAGAGACTGGCTAATAGAATGGAGAAAACTGTCAAAGACAGCTAGGAGTCCATGTCTCTTAATAGAAATGTGGATTTCTAGCCTTTCCAAATCAAAGTATAGATCCAGCCAATGATCACTTCATTGACTTAAGGGCCAAGGAAGGATGTGAACAGAACTAAGTTTGAGAAAGTAGCACTGAACCACATTATTTCTTTATAGGAGCTTGACCTTATGGCAACAAAGTAGAACAGCAGATCTGAGTACATTTCTCAATATTTACCTTGTGGGTCAAGGCTATCAGAACTTATTTCTATAAAAAAACCACATTTCTATCAAATAAAAATGTAAAGTTGACTTTAGTTTTTTCCTCATGATATTTCAAGAATAGAATTCATATATGTTATTTATATGATGTGAATTATTTCACCTTTCTTTTCTTTTTCTTTCTTTTTATAAGAAACCCATATTGTTTACTTTTTGTGTGAAAGGAACAATGAGCATTGAAAAAATAAGCAAATATATGGCAGATTAATCAATTCTTACATAACTAAATGGATTTTTCAGCAATTTAAAAAGTATTTATTTTTTCTAGGACTTTTGGGAGTTCACTAACATATGCCAGGGTTAATCTTATGTTAAGTAACTAAAATCGGTATTGGTAACAAGTAGAGTAGAGGAGACATTGACAGACATGGTAGAACTTTAAGAAGAGAATTCTTAGTCCTGGAGATGCATGCAATCAGAAACCCAAATGCTACTAAGAAGCTCCTGTTCCCATTTCTCTTCTCAGGATATCAACCTTGCTCTCCTTGGGTGTCTGACAGTCAGACCCTCGAAGTATAGTGAGATGCATTGCCAGGCCTGCTCGTCATGTATCAATAGTCCATCTACCAGCTCCCACTAGGGAAGTAACAGAAGGCAATCATCATAGTGGGACAGAGGACCCAGTGCAGGGAGAGATTTACCTGGGCTGGCATACATTACTGGTCTTGGAATACATTAAGGTCATCATGAAAAACATTAGGAAATATGTGAACTTTCTCAACCTGTTCCATGCTTGTGACACCAAGCAAGGGACTGACAGTCCTACATAGACATTAGGATGAATGGTGACAAAAGATCATGCAGAGCTAGGTCATGCTGCCACTGGGCAGTTGTGGAACATAACACAAGCTCCTATGGAAGGAACCCTGGACTGCTTTTAGCAACTTCCTTCCTTCTTAAAGACCCACAGGGCTTAGTCTTTGCTTTCTTTTTCTTTACATTTTTTAAGAAATGTGATCTTGAGCTTCTGCCATGTATATCCGGGGTTGTAATGGGCATATGGGGAAAGTCCAGAAAAACACTTGGAAAGAGTACTAAGCATGTTGCCTTTTCAGCAACATTTATAGAACTATTTGCAACACTATTTGAGGTAAACAGGACCTTTGAGTGAAGTCCTCCTCAACTCTCTCCTCCTGCTATGGATAGAGTGGGAGCTAAGGAGTAGCTCATAACCTGGCTAGGGGGCTGAGAGAGCATGTTGTTGCTGATCTTGTGCTTTTGGAGAGGCCAACTCTAGGTCCCCACTTGGTTTGAAGGGATATTTTCAGAATTTTTCTATGATTTGGTGGTGTCTTTACCCTTCATGTTTCACTAAAAAACTCTTTGACTTAGAAAAAAAGAAAGGAAAGAATAACAGGAAAAAGCCTTGGTTGAGAGATAATAGGCCACATGGTCATCTCAGCACCCACCACGTGACCTGCAAGTTCTGTAACTGGACAAACTGATCAGGGGTACGTGCCTCTGCCCAATCAGTGCTCCAGGTAGGGGAGGAAGAAATGTAGTTCTCCCCAAATGGACCTTATCAGGTTATGCAGGTCAGGCCAATCAATCAGAACTTCCACAGGGGCTTTGTTTCTAAAAGCAAACATTCAGTACTGCCTCACTGCATCAGAAATGCTGCAAAGGAGGAATACTGTAAATCCTTGCATCAAAATGGTGGAGTGGAGGAAGCTGGCGTGTGGGTCTTTCCCACTTAAAACCACTGTGGCCTTTGGTATGTCACTGAAGTGGCCTGGTCCTCTGGGTCTTTGCAAAGTAAGTACAAATGACTGCACTAGAGTTTTGTTTCAAAAGCTAGAAAGCAGGAAACATATCTGCATACTGCCTGCAGGCTGTAGTTCATAGCGTGAGAGCAGATGGTGGTGGCTGTTGTTATTTGCTGTTCCTGTGGGCTTTTCCAATGGAAACACTTTGCCTGGGTTGCCTTCGAGCAAGGCACCTTCCATCTGAAGCTTCGGCAGAGATGGGGCAGTTTCTTTTTTATCAATACCTTGCAGCAAACAAAAATGTTCCACAATGTGTAGTATATACTTTCTCCTGCTTCTTTTGCTTCTATCCTTTCCCTCCTCTAGGTCCCTACTTTCTGCTTCTTCTTTCTCACTTTTCTTTCGTCTCTGTTTTAATTTTTCTTTGTTCCATCTCTCTTTTGTCTCTGACTGCTGGCCCAGGGCCAATTCTGCCCACTGAAGAACTCTGGGGCTCTTTCAAACTTCCAGGCACAGTTCAGCAGATAACATGAGGCCCAGAAGATTTCTAACACCGGGATCTGATAGCAAATGACGCATTTCCAATCCTGACAACCTATTTCTTCTGGGATGTGAAAGGAACAGTGATTAATTATATGGAAAAGAGTTGTATACTAAACTTGACTGCTTGTTCCCACAAATCACACTGACAGATTGCTTTAGAGAGAGTTCAGACCAAGTAGTTTTAAAGATGGACAAGTACATATGTATTCTGAGCAATAAAGTTCCTGAGGAAAAAAGGGTGCATTCAAGATCTGAATTCTCTAGCTCTCTCTGTGGGTGTGTGCAGTGACAGACCAAATCCCATTGTGCCTGTCATATTTGGATGGTATTAGCATATTGCTAAGGCATCTTCCTTTCCAATAAGCAATATGTGTTCTGGAAATGCCAACTCATATTAAAATGTAATTAGGAAATTAATCCTCTTCTCTTCATAATGATAGTACATTTAAAATTCAATATACACATTTTGTTACTTGCAGTATATAATCCATTCTATTTTCCAATCACGTACATTGGTAGTCCAGATCAATATATAAACATAAAACAACATAAATTGAATGCACTTGAGATATCATAGCTAGATATCTGTAGGACTAAATATAGCCTTTATCTATCATTAAACTTCATCATAATTTCACCTCATCAACAAATATGTGTCATGCATAGGTTCAAAATGCACTTACGCTTAATCCTTAATATTGTCTTGATTTTGTACCTTATTCTGTGCTGTTCTTAGGTCTTTTCTCATGTATTGACAACAGTGTTATCCTCAGTATGGCAACCCTCCTTACTAAAAAGCATTTATGTAATTCTCTTAGCTGAGTAACTTGTTAAGTACTTTTTTGATAATGGAGATGTTAGTATAAAAATACCCCACATTATATAATTGAGAGTGCTTGACAGTGATTTATGCATTTGTAACACCTTAAGACTTTGCCATTAACAAGTGTCATCCATGTCAAAACATAAAAGGTAATTACTTTGTGGAAAGAGGCATTACCCAAGTTATTCCTTAGAAGTATATTTTCTTTCAGTAGAAGTGAAATTGTATGCCATTGCCAACGAGAGAATTTCTTACATTCATCAATGTATAATCTTAATCTTAATGAGGTCCCAATCACATTTGGCTGTCATAGGCTTTTAAACATCTCCTAGATTTGTTACGTGGTTCCATTAATTAGTATGTATATTTTCAGAAGCTTAAAATAGACGTAATATTAAGCAGAAGATTTTGAGATGTGTTCTTGACATTCTGTTTGGTTTTTACAGTATTCTTAGGTTACAGCAGCTTAAGCACTAGTTGAACAACCTTTTCT